GCCTTTACAGTTTTACCGGACGATACGATCCAACTATCATCATCTTTTACTGTATATATACCGTACGCCATTAATACAAGCGAATGCTAGATTCTATTATATGTCATCTACAGAAACCATTCAAAAGTATCTAGAATTTTTATAATATTTATATTTTGTAACAAAATATGTTATGTAGTAAATTTATATATATACTGTACTAAGTTGCAACACCGATTTGGATATACTGTAATGGTCTTGTAATATTGAATTGAATAAATAAATAAATAAATAAATATATATATATATATACTAGCTCTCCCGGCAAACGTTGTTTTGCCATATAAATTAATAACGCTATAAAAAAATAGGGGTTGATGATAGAAGGGTAAAAATTTAGGATTGTATGTATTTTTGTATGTTGTATCATAAAAAAATAGAAACTAAAAATTTTGTCTAAAAAATAAAAAATAAAAATTTAGGGGTGGACTAACCCTAACATTTAGGGGGATGAAAATTAGATATTGGCCGATTCTCAGACCTATTCAACACGCTCACAAAATTTCACGAGAATCGGTCAAGCCGTTTCGGAGGAGTATGGGAACGAAAACTGTGCCACGAGAATTTTATATATAAGATTTATTTATTTAGATTAGACATTTCTGCTGACTGTACCTTATCAAAGCAACAATGATATCCGTAACGAAATTGAATGAAAAACGTTCACAAGGTTACAACGCGACATAATTCCTGTCACAATGTGTTATCCAATGAATATTTATGTTGCACGCGTATAGTGAACGCACGTGGGTGTACCGCAATGGACGCGATTGTTGTGCTACATTGCGTAATGTCGATACATTGTTCTTTTTATTGGTCAATTTGATAAATTGACTTTGACAGCCCTGTCAATATGCAATATTAATTACAGGTATTGAAATATACACCTTTACGCTGCTCAGCCATCATCTTATTATTATTATAAACTCGAAAGTTTACAAAAGTATCGATGGATGTTTGTTACTCTTTCACGCAAAAACTACTAATTACAATTTAGATAAAACTACAGTAATGTAGCTTACACATCAGAATAACACATATAAATTTCATGCAAGTGAAACTGAGGGAATAGCTAGTGAAAGATAAAATAAAATTGAAGAGTTTATACGCGGAAACATAGGGACTCGGTGGTGTAGCGGTTAATCGCACCGCTTTATGTCCGATGGTCGCGGGTACGATTCCTCGCATGGCTGAAACAAAAAAAAATTAAATAATTTAAAATTTGAAACTATCAGCTTTAAATTCTAAATGATTTGAAATTTTTCCATGATGGGCTAACTGACCTGACCTCATGCTCATCTTATCATCCTCCCCGCAGGGGTATACCATCAGCACAGCCGGGTACTCGATTCCATTAGCATCCATTGAAGACGTTCGCATTCAGGACGTCCCAGAACAAAAACTAGGACATGTCCTGGGAATACAGAACGTTTGGTAACTCTACATAAACATTCAGAAATAATAGAACTCACGAATCGAGTACGCAACAATCAGACAATCGACGAGACTGTCAACATAGCAGCTAATGCTGAGCAAACATTGATGTGAATGCGGGTCTGCTACAAATAGAGTTCTGATTACACTGAAAAAGTGTACGCACCTCGCACCAAATAGACAGATATAGTAAGTTCAAAAAGGAGCAAGCAAAACGGCTGGCAATTTATTTGTTTACTTCAGGCTTCTAGGCCCATATTATAAATACTATATAAACATACATCTATACATATAAATACAATTGGAGTGTCTGTTTGTAATATTGAAATACGTTTTTTACTACATGCATATGAATACAAATACGGTACATACACCAAGATAACATTTTTTACAATTTTGTTCTGTCTGCCTGTTTGTACCGGATAATCTCTGAAATGGCGAGACCGATTTTGATGGAATTTTTTTGCCAAGTAGCTGATGGAATAAGGAATAACTTAAGCTACTCTTATTTTAGAAAAATAAAGTTAAATTCCACGCGGACGAATTCGCGGGTACAGCTGGTATGAAATAATATTATACAATTAAGATATTGAAATTGTCTGTGTGGTCACGGCACTGATGACGGCAATCTGCCACGGTAGCGCTGATATACCACACCCATCAGACACTAGTCCTTCATGAAGATGGGCAGAATGTTGGTGGGGACCCGGGTCACAAACGCCTTGGAAATCGCGTTGTGGCTGCGTCACCTTCAATGTCAGGTTCGTGAATGGCCTGTTCCATTGCCCTCTGAGTGACTTTGACCTCAAATATACTCGATATTTGGCATAAAACTATAGAATTAACGAAAATATAAGTCAAAAATTATATATAAAAAACATGATTCAAAATAAGGAATTGACGACCTCGGTGGTCTAGCGGTCTAGCACACCGCTTTACGACCGATGGTCGCGGGTTCGATTTCGCACAAACAATTTGTATTCATGAGTATGATTGTTTGTATCGGTCTGAGTGTTTTCTATGTATAATATGTATGTATACGTATTTATTTATGAAAAAAATCTATGTATATATATATATCAGTTATCTAGTACCCATAACACAAGCTTTAGCTAGCTTAACTTGGGTCTAGATGGCGCTGTGAATTGTCCTGAGATTATTATTATTAAGGAAACCAAAGAGGTCCAAAGAGGTCTGTCTCCAACAGTACCTAAGTTTGAACTTTATATATATAAATTAGCTGTATACGGTCGCTCGCAAGGGGGCACCCTTGTCCAATTTAACCCCTAACGGTGCCCTCAGACTAAAGTCGTATCCGTCAGACAGGAGTTGCCCTTCAGCGTTGCATAAGTCCTTCCTTTTGGAACCTTAGGAATCTTCCTGCTGCCAACAGCATTGGAGTAGTCCAAACATAATGTCGCTTTATATGCATATTGTATTATATCAATATTCGATATTTAACTTCCGTTACGTCAGTTTTACTTCAATCCATCCATCAATATACTTGTCAGTGTTACCTAGTATACCTTACATTTTTTTTTCGGACTACTCAAATGCTGTTGTTCGCAGCTGGCCTTTACAGCTTCACTGGGCGATTGGGGGCGAGTGCAGATAGCACTCCAAACCCGCGGAAGGACTTATGGAGCAGCTAAAGGCCAACTCCCACCTGACGGATACGACTTTAGTCTGAGGGCACCGCTAGGGGTTCGAACCTCGGCTCAGGCCGTCGTAACATCGATCCCCGTTTGAATTGGACGGGGGATCGATCGGAGGGGTTATCTTACATTGTTGTTACCATATACATTATATATATATATATATTCAACCCGGCTGAAAACACGGCTTCCAGGAAATAAATCATTCAAATACACGAAACAAATTACCATTGATTTTCTATTTGAAAAATAATCATTAGAATAAAACAAACGGCAATAAATTCTATCACAACAGTTTTTATCGGTACATTTTGTTCGTGTCTGTGGGCCGGTACTAATTTATCTACTAAATAATTTACGATACCATTGTAAATCAGTCCGGCCGTCTGTTTGTATTCCATAGCTAATATATTTTCATAAATAAATAGTACTGAAATAATTATTATGAGGATTATTTTTTATAATTGTTTATTTATATGTTAATACGTGAAGAAAAAACTGCATTTCTTTTTACGAAAATTGCGCTGATGGGCAGTATGTAATTTTGCTCACTTATTGTTTATATAGAGAAAGAGTGTAGAATACTAATATATCCGTCATACTCGTGAACGAGTGCTGCTTGTAGGGACTGGTCTGCTCTTATCACTACGACTGATTTAATCTTATTGTGTTTTTATATTTGAGCCTAAATAAATTAGTGCTGGTTGGTAGTTTGTATTCACACGTTTCGACTTGTAATAAGTGAACTTACAAGGATTGTTTAAAAGAGCAACACACAAGTTTCTTGCTAATTCTTCTTGTGATGAGACAACATTCTGAATGAGCGGTAGATTTAAAAAAAAATGTTGACCTTTCAAAAGTGCTTAAATTAAGTTTATTTGAATAAATTATTTTCTATTCTATTCTATCTTTTTTAATTTTGCATAAAAAATAGATGAAATCAATAAAAAAAAGATTATACACTCTACCATGTATTTCAGACACACACAGATATATACTCGTTTGTTTATTGTCATAGTCTGTGGTAAAATTGATAATAGACTAATATTTTGTTTGTTTTTAATATTATTTGTCTGTTTCCCTGAAGGTTAGGAGATTATATTATACTAGCTTTTACACGCGGCTTCGCTCGCGTTAATTTATACCCTTAGGGATGGAATTTATCAAAATCCTTTCTTAGAGCCTACGTCATAGTAGCTTTATGCATGCAGGGTCTCAGCCCGATCGGTTTAAACGCAAAAACTACTAAACGGTTTTTGATGAAACTTTACAGTAATATAGCTTATACATCAGAATAACATGTAAGTTATAATTTAAAGAGATATTATGTAAATTGGGAGAAATATAATAATATATATCGAGTATGTGTGGTGTAGAAGAATTTGTGCGGGCCAGCTAGTAATTCATAAACATAGCTAAATATCTGTCTATTGTTGCAAGATGATAAATATCTAATAATATAGGATAATTGATAAAAAAATCTTTATTGTAATATAATGTTTACTATACATTAATTCATTAAAACTAACTATAACATTATTATTTAACTTTAACATTTCCATTTATAAAATAATAAAACGAGAACATTTATTAACAGAACTTTGTACAAACACTTCTATGGACTTCTATTTCGCCTACTTATGGTCTAGCGGTATAGCGCACCGCTTTACTTCCAATGGTCGCGGGTTCGATTCCTCGTACGGTACTAACAGTTGTAGTAGATTCATTATTCATAGTAGATTTTTTAAAGAGTTTGGTTGTTTTCTGTGCTATGTACATATATTTATCACTTATTTGGTACCTATAGCACAGGTTTTGCTTAACTTGGGCCTAGATGGTAAATTGTCCAAGGATATTATTTATAAGTTCTCTTTTTAGCTATAATTTTCCGTCTCGAACTTATAGCTAATTCAGATTGGATAGCAGGTTCTATTTTCACATCTTCGCGTTCTGTTTCGTATATATGTGGATACGTATCTATATAATCATTGTAATGAGAATCTTTGCTTAACTTGGGCCCAGATGGCGCTGTGTAAATTGTCCAAAGGCATTGTTACTTATTTTCAAGTGTCAATTCTCTCAACAGCAAGTTTTGTATTTCACTCCTTATTATTAACTTCCTAACTGGATTTAGCTTCTTCATAAAAGGCACTAATGATTTAACAAAGTGCATATCATCATCAAGATTTACTTCTTCTCTATCGTCTTCTACATTTGATAGTCTTCTCTTTTTAGCGACAATTTTCCCTCTCGAACTTACAGCTAATTCTGCTTGATTTGCAGGATCTATTTTAACTTCTTCGCGTTGTGTTCCGTATATATGTGGATACGTATCTATGTAATCATTGTAATATTCAGGTGATAAAGAATTATCACTCACACTGATTTCTTCTAACTTTATCTGCTCTGGACCGTCCAGCGTAGTGTCTTCTGTGTTTGTATAAATCTTCTTTCTGACGTGGTCATCTATTATCACTTTCATGAATAGAAGCCTCTCGAAGTACATCCATTTGCCGCCGTAGAATGAGATGAGAGGTTTGCCATTGGTGCCTGACGATGGAATGTCCAGTTTCTTTGCCTCTCTCAAGAACTGGTCTCGGAGGTTTCGCCATTTGCTCTTCACTTTGTACTCTGCAATTGGAAAAACGTTTATCTATACATCTATGCATATAAATAAAATTGGAGTGTCTGTTTGTAATATTGAAATAATCGTTTTTTACTTACTACATGCATATGAATATAAATGCGGTACATACCCCGCATTATTCATAATATACATATATAATATCTATAAATAAAGCGATAAGGGACCGTTAATAATGAATGGGAACTAGTTGCTCATTTCCAATGTACCATTTCAGGTCTACCTCCACGCGATCCTCCTGAAAACAATAGTTGTTATTTAGACGACCTCGGTGGTCTAGCGGTCTAGCACACCGCTTTACGACCGATGGTCGCGGGTTCGATTTCTCGCACCGCAAACATTTGTATTCATGAGTATGATTGTTTGTATCGGTCTGGATGTTTTCTATGTATAATATGCGGTCCTCCTGAAAACAATAGTTGTTATTTAGACGACCTCGGTGATCTAGCGGTCTAGCACACCGCTTTACGACCGATGGTCGCGGGTTCGATTTCTCGCACCGCAAACATTTGTATTCATGAGTATGATTGTTTGTATCGGTCTGGATGTTTTCTATGTATAATATGCGGTCCTCCTGAAAACAATAGTTGTTATTTAGACGACCTCGGTGATCTAGCGGTCTAGCACACCGCTTTACGACCGATGGTCGCGGGTTCGATTTCTCGCACGGCACAAACATTTGTATTCATGAGTATGATTGTTTGTATCTGGGTGTTTTCTATATAATATGTAGGTATTTACAAAAAATATGCATCTATGTGTATGTATCAGTTATCTAGTACCCATAACACAAACTTTAGCTAGCTTATCTTGAGTCTAGATGGCGCTATGTGAATTGTCCTAAGAATATTATATTATTATTATATTTTTTAGTAAATTTGCGACAATACACTAACTGACTTGAATTCACACTCCTTGTATTATTCTCCACTTCTGTGCCGCCAGCGCATATCGGTAACGTAAACGGGAGCACTATATATCCATTAGAAAAACCTATAAATACATATACAAACAACATATACATAGCTATATCTAAAACACCTAATCAAAGAATAAGTGATACCTATTGACCTAAGTGGGCAAATAGGTCGCCATGTCCGTTCTAATCTACAGTAGCTCTTTGTTGTATAAATTTTAATTCACGTACAAAAATCAATCTTATAACTAACGACTTAGGGTTCAAATTTGAACACATACCAAACAAGTTTCCCGCTAATTATATACTTGAATAAAACTCTTTATGAAAGAATGAGACAACAACATAAACATGACTTACTCTCGGTGTGTAAAACTTTCGCAACAAGGCTCCACTCCCTGTCCACTGCCGTTCGATTTGGGTGATCGTCGTGGTACTTATTCCAAAGCATTGGTCTCTTTTCTACCTCGTCGATCAAGTCTTCAACCAAACTCATTGTCACTATTGAGATATTGGCGCGAAACACGTACGCATAAGGAAATACAAGGTAGCTTTCCAAAAAACTACTATTGTGTAAAAAAAACTACTATGTTCTTAATTCAAACACGGTAGAAACACTATAATGAATAAATATTAATACAAAATACTGGCCGGCTAAAATGATACAACGATTTTTGATTTGTTTGAAATTTAAAAATAGAACGCGCGTCGTGCGTGCGACGCGATGTAAATATTACTAAAGTGAAGTGAGCTGCGGCAGTGCATGTAGTGCGACGGCCGCGTTGTACGATGTAATCGATCGAGAACGCGCGACGTTGCCGCATCGCACGTTCGTGTCGTTCAAGGTCATATTGTCGCATAGTTTTTTTTTATGTATGACTAGCTGCTCCCGCGACTTCGCCCGCGTGGAATTTAACTTTATTTTTCCAAAATGTAGTATCCTAAGTTACTCCTTATTACAGCAGCTACCTGCTAAAAAAGGTCCCGCAAAATCGGTCCAGCCATTTCAGAGATTAGCCGGAACAAATAGATCGACAGACAGACAGACAAAAATTATAAAAAATATTATTTTGGTGTATGTACCGTATTTACATTAATATGCATGTAGTAAAAACAGTTATTTCAATTACAAACAGACAGTCCAATTTTATTTATATGTATAGATAATGGAATGGTGCACCGCACCGCCTGCGCTAACGGTTTACGCTGGCGGGGCACCAGTGGAGGATGATAAGATGAGCATGAGGTCAGGTCAGTTAGCACATCGTGACAAATTCACCAAGAATTTATCACGATGGTTTCCAGGGGGAACCGCGTGGAGATCAACCTGACATGGTACATTGCTAGCGATAAGATCACTACTATTACTAAAAATCCCCTTTCCCCCAAACAAACAATATTAATATGAAAGTAATAAATAAAATAAAATATTAATATATTCTCAACTTGATATATACGTGTGTGGGTCAAATACATGTTAGTTTTTTTTATAGCATAGGGGACAAACGAGCTTGCGGCTCACCTGATAGTAAGTATTTACCGCCGTCCATGAGCATCCGCAGTACCAGGTCAATTGCAAACCTCGATATGGGATACCAGCATTGGTATTCTGTAAGCGTTTTACCGCAGAGGAACCAAAGTGACTGATATAGCCCGAAGAATTGCGAAACTGAAGTGGCAATGGACAGGCACGTAGCTCAGAGTCAATAAAGTTCTCGAGTGACGACCACGGACCGGAAGACGCAGCGTGGGAAGGCCTCCAGCAAGATGGACCGAAGATCTGGTCATAATCGCTGGAAGGCGATGGATGCGACCAGCGCAGAACCGATCGTCGTGTAGATCTTTGGGGGAGGCCTTTGTCCAGCAGTGGACGTCTTTCGAGCTGAGATGATGATGATGATGAAGCGGTTTATCACCTCATTTCGTTCATCGCTTCACTCAAGGCACTCGTATTTATTTGCATATATAAAGTTCTTACTGAGCTATCGAGATTGCCTATATTTCTAAAATAACACTAGTGTCTGTTTCACCTCCATCCCGCTCTCGAGCGTGTGGTACTGCAGTCGCTATCGAGTTTTACAGAATACCAATATACAACATCACAGCGGATTCTGCTTTCGAATTAGTAAGTGATGCTTTCAGAACAGCTCTACAATTCTAAGATGAACCTGAACTTAGATATCATCATCATCCTTATTCTAAATACCTAAACACAGCATAAATCAAAGAGGCAAATATTCTCACCGTTGCTTCTCAATTTATATATTCAAATATCCTATATGTTCATAAAAATTTTGACTTATTTCCAAAAAACAGCAATGTTCATAATATTAATACTAGATTTAAAGACAAACTTGCTGTCCCCAAGTATCGTTTAGAGAAAGTTAATAGGTCTTTTATGGGAATAGGTATAAAATTTTACAATAAGATACCAAAGGATATATTGGAATTACCCTTAAATAAATTCAAAACATCTGTTAAATCATATTTACTGAGCAAGGCCTATTACTCACTAAACGATTACTTGAATGACGAGCGTGCATGGCAATAGTTTTCATGTTCGGGATTTTCATTTAATGTTAGACATAGACACCTATATAAATACCTATGCATTGTAAATAATTGGATTTAAAAAAAAAAAATTCAATTGAGTTTCTTGCCAGTTCTTCTCAATTGGATCTATATACCGAACTGGACGGTAGGGAAAAAAATTCTAAAGTAAAAACTTGACGTTCATAAGCGACTAAAATGTCATGAATAAATGATTTTTGAATTTTGAATTTTTGAAAATAATTTGAAGGCAGAAAGTCATTTGCTACCTCATGGCAATTAGTGGGATTTAAAATTCATTCTGCAGTTTGACAAATGTCAATAAGCAGCACTAAATGCAGATGTCAAAAGCGAATGGCCGAAAGCAAACAGCTCGGATACATTCGCAGTGAAGTTTAGCAATCAGTGTGCCAGCCAGTGTACACTCCTGATAGGGTTGTCACTTATTGGTAGATTATGACTTTGAATTAAAGAAGAAATCTGTGGTATTTTATTCACCTGCCTGAGAAAGGTTTGAATATCCCCAGAAACCAGCAGAAGACTGTGTAATGACAGAAATAGGAAGGAGAAAGCGGGACTCACCGACCGGGCTAATTTGATTGTAAATTGAAGACCTTGGGTGCACCCTTCGTCCTTGACTCCGATTCCACACACCACCAGCAGTTTATTTCACACTTATAATGCACTGGACACGTGAATTCACACAGATTTTCTTGTTAAATCTCAATTAGAATATGAGTAATGTCAACTCAGGTATTAATAATAAGCCAGCCATAATTAATTGCACATTTTTCTTTTTTTTCGGGGTTCACACGCTCACGCAGTTAGCACCGGTTGGCGGGAATATTTGAATTTGGAATTAATTGAACGAATGAAATATCTTCTTAGTGATCGTTGATTAATACAATGTTATGGGGATTGGAAAAGGATGTCAGAACACTTATATTGTTATTTTTTATTAATAACTCTGGATATTTATAATGTTTATTTAGTAACAAACATCCATCCATACTCACAAACTTTAGCCTTTATAATATTAATAAGATTTATATATTACCTATACACAGCATATATAATTAGTTTGACGCCAGAAATATTGGTAACTCATGGCAATTAGTGGAATTTAAAATTCATTCTGCATTTTGACAAATGTCAATAAGCAGCAGTAAATGCAGATGTCAAAAGCGAATGGCCGAAAGCAAACAGCTCGGATACATTCGCAGTGAAGTTTAGCAATCAGTGTGCCAGCCAGTGTACACTCCTGATAGGGTTGTCACTTGTGTTATTATTTAATTATTAATAGCTCAAAATGTTTTAATTGTTGTAATTTTAAATTACAAATCTTTGAATGTCTCGGCTTGTTCTATACTATAACACACATATATTATAAATATAGACTTTCCTCTTGAATAATTCTGTTTATTGGTGAAAACTACATTAAAATCCGTTGTATAATTTAAAATATATAAGCGAACAGATAGCGGCGGCGACTCTATTTTATACTATGTAAAGATATTTTTGATTAGCTAGTGTTTACTGGAGAAATCGTGCTATGTTTATAATAATAAAATAAACAATGATTAGAACTTTTTGTACACCGAATTTAATAGTGACGTCACGGAATATTCGAGAATAAATGAAAAAATGTATATAAAGGAAAACAAAACAACATCGATGTTCCATGGCTGATGTTCCAAATTTGAATTTTATGAATTCATTTTTGAATGTATTTATATATAGCTGTTTACGATTACAAACAGCTAATTTCAACACGATTAAAGGTGACAACCCTAACTAAGAGTCTCCCGTAAATGCCATTGTTTCTTTTTTGAAATGAAAAAATGTATATAAAGTAAAACAAAACAACATCGACGTTCCATGCGAAAACGTTCCAAATTTGAATTTTATGAATTTATTTTTGAATGTATTTATATAACTATTTACGATTGCAAACAGCTAATTTCAACACGAATAAAAGTGACAACCCTAACTAAGAGGCTCCCGTAATTGCGATTGTTTCAGTTTCAACACTAGAACCGTTTTCGGTTTCATAGTTCTCCTGAAAAACTGAACGCAGAACGCTTTCTGACCGACCGCTAATTGCATTTATTTATGAGTAGTTCGTGTTTGGAATATCATTCACCCGTTCACGAGTATGACGGATGAGCCAGCCGTCATTGCGCTCAACCATATTAGGCCCACCACGCCGCCACATGTTTGAACTATATAGCGAGCATGACTGTTTCAAGTTAATCCACTACGTCATTTATATACATAGGCTGTACCAATCACAGTTTTCACTCATTACAATATTGAATTGTAATGGGTGCAAACTCAAGTTTGTCTATGATACTTATGATTTTTAATAAAAGCGACAGCCCTGACTAAGAGGATCCGCTAATTGTGATTGTTTCAGTTTCAACACTAGGAGCGTTTTCGGTTTCATGGTTCTCCTGAAAAACTGAACGCAGAACGCTCTCTGACTGACCGCTAATTACATTTGTTTATGAGTAGTTCGTGTTCGGAATATCATTACACACTCTAGTTTGTATTTTGCATGATACTAATGAATTTTAATGAGTTTATTTTTGAGAGTTTGTTTTAAACTATATAAATAATTATATATTACTAGTATTATAAATGCGAAAGTTTGTGAATAAGGATTGACAGATGGCGACCTCGATGGTCTAGCGGTCTTGCACACCGCTTTACGACCGATGGTCGCGGGTTGGATTCCTCGCACGCCACAAACATTTGTATTCATGAATATGATTGTTTGTATCGATCTGGGTGTTTTCTATATAATATGTAGGAATTTACAAAAAAAAAAATCTATGTGTATGTATCAGTTATCTAGTACCCATAACACAAGCTTTAGCTAGCTTAACTTGGTTCTAGATGGCGCTGTGTGACTTGTCCTGAGATTATTATTATTACGGAAGGACTGTATTAAGGCTGGTTAAGAATGAGACACGTTCCTAGGTGATGTAAAATAATTGTAATCAGCTCGCTAGCAAAAATATAAAGACAAAGAATATAGCATAAGAAAACAAACGGTATATCAAAACAGAACGTCAAAATATAAATTTCAAATGTATATAAAAAACATAAAAACTATTAAAAAAGGTTGCCATCGGCAACAATTATTATTTATTTTTTTCCAAAAATTCTCATCT